ATTCAGTCGGCATCATGCAGAACTATTTTAGAAACCAGTAGCAATCTAATTTTCAGCCCGTTTTTCCAGGTGGTAATAAACTTCTCTGGGTGATTAATCACAAACTTTACCAGAAACAATGGGCTGCCTTGTTGGCTTATCAGAATTTGTATTTTAATTTCACTCTAACCTGTTTCTGTGATTTCATGTCGACAAATATGCCACTGGGTGAGAACTTTATTTCTTTAATTTTGATGCTCACGCTTAGTCTGTCCATGACTGCACGTTTGAGAGCTTCACTTGCACTGCCTGCCGCATTTGGAACTCTTCTCCTGTTGCTGCTGAGTCATTTCCTTTGCTTCAGTCTGTCTTTCAGACTTGTTTTTGTGTGCAGCCTATAACTGACATCCTGTTATACTTGGTATGCTATATGAAAATAAAATGTATTGTTCTGTAGAAGGAGAACAATTGTTGGATCCCTGTGTTTTTTCCAGTTCTGCTACTTCTGGAATACATCTTTTTTAATGTTAAACTGAATTTTCAAAGAAATAAATGTCTGACTTCTCCCATTGTCATGATAAGTACATAGCCTATATAATATTGCAATGTAGTAGCTCAGACAACAACAGCGATGTAAAATTATATTTTTAAATCACTGCTTTTGTCTTCTAGCTCTTAACCTCTGGTTCCTACATCTGGATTTTAGCCTTAAGTGGATTGGTAAGTCTTACTGTTTTAAAAATCGTGTGTTGTTTAAAGCTCCCTGTTATATATACAATCAGTGCATTATATTTGGACTCGAAAAGAACAGAAATTACTGAGTAATATTTTTATTTGTAATGGTAAGTCGAAAGTTTTCATCTTTAACTTCCAAAGGTGTAAAGCACTGACTGGCTGGTGATAAATGGACAGACAACAAAAGTTCTGGTTAATGTTTGCAAGCTGCCACTGCTCTCTGATGCCCTAAAATTAATTTTGCCGCCATGGATATAGCTTTAGACCCACAATTGTAAATGAGACTATTGAGGAAATGGTAGAAATATTTACCCTATTTCTTTTTTCCAGCAAGCCTCAAGGTTTTATTCCAGGAAGCAGCTTTTAACAGCTTTGCTGTGAGGATTTTTCATGTTTTGCTGTTCTCCTAGGACATCTGTAGTATAGCCATTTCTTGCTATGATAATGGCAGTAAGGGTGCAAAATCACCTTCTTCACACCAGTCAGATAAAGTCAGTGTGGTCTGTCCTTTTCCTTTCTGACTCTGTTCTTAGTACTAAGGCACTTAGTGCTAAATCAGATTGTACTAAATCTTCCAGATTGTTAGATGCTGATAAGCTGCTTTTAAAATTTTACAAATTTAGAAATTAGGAGCTCGGACTCATGATTTCTTGGCCCAAAATACTGTCAGCTTTTCCAAGAGTGAAAGTGCCACTTCTTCCAAAGAAGCTCATTGTTAAGTTGATGCAATCTTAAGAACTTAAAATGTGCCTTTGCTATTTAGAACCTACTGAATTGAATTTGCAGTGAGCTCAGGGTGAAATGCCTGTTGACACTTCACGTATTGCTGCTATAACTCAGTAGTTTGGTCTCTTACCATTTGCATTGACTGTTCCAAAATATTTTGTAGGCTCGCAGGACAACTAACAGGAGTGACAGAGCAGTGAATAGTGAAGTCTGCTCAGCAATTTGGTCTGACCATAAATATTGATGCAAACAGTGCAACTAACAAACCAGAATTTCTCCTTCCTGGAGATCAGCCCAAGCCTCTGTGCCCGCCTAAGGATCTGTGACTTCCTCCAAACGCACTACCCTTCCTGTTACTCTTCTGGCTCTTTTAATAGCCCTTCCTTTTGAACAGGTGTTCATTAGAGAGGAAAAGAAAGGAAAGAAAAGGAAAGGCATTTTAACTCCCTCTTTCCTGGTGGCAGGCACTGTATGTATACTTGGTTATACAGACTTAAAAAATGCAGCGCAAATATTTTTTTTTTTCATAATATATTATGCTGTTCCTATTTTATTTCCCTTTTAATGTACAGTTCTATTCAGCTGTATAAGGCAACTTTCTTAGGATTCTTTTTCATAAATGACCTTTTTTTTAATTGCAGGTTGACAGTGAATTTTACAGAGGTATAAGGCCATAGGAATAAATTGATCTTTCTCTGTGTCACAGGAAGGCTTAAAAAATCATTTGAAGTTTTCATATTGCTTCAGTCAGCATGAATTAAGTCATCATCAATGATGATGTGTTTTCAGTCTCAATTTTTACTGCAGCAGGTGGAGAGCTGCACTCTAGCATTTTGTAATAAGTGCTACAATTTGGAAAGAAGTTTATGTAATTAATTTCAGCCATTTTTTGCACAGCATATCTGTCACACTTCTGTGAATAAGAATTCCCACGACCTATGTATTTTTGTAAAACTTCTGTGAATAAGAAGTCTCTTTTTTTTCCTCTGTTATAAATGATAATTTGTCATCTTTTGAGAAAACTTGATAAAGGAGTAAAGTTTCACATTATATTAAATAATCTGAAGAGGGATATGAAGCACTATAAAGACACATTTTAGCACTACAAGTGTAGATACATGATAACATATGTATATGTACAATTACAGAAACATGTAGGTTGTCAAATCAATGTTAAGTAATTCCCACGACCTATGTATTTTTGTAATTCTCACTGCTCTTGACATTTTCTAACATACTATATCTTTGTTAAGTCAAATTTTCATGTATTTGTACAAAAAGGCTGAGTAAAGGCATGAACACCAAGTCAGCTAGGTGATATTTAGTCACTAGTTTATTGCCTGTTAGACACGTCACTGTATTTTTAGCTCTAAAGATCACTTAGACACTCATATGACTGTATCTGATTCTGTTCTGCAATTTAGCTTTTGTTGCACTTCTGCTTATGTGGAGTATTAAAATGGATGGTGCCGACACCATTTCTGAACTGTCAGTTTCCACTTTCTCTTCACCGTGTTCCCAGTTTAGGTTTATTTAAATTCTCACAATTTATAGTTTAACATGTAATGAACACTCTTACACTAAACGGGATTTTGACTTTCCAGGTGTAAGATGTGGCACTGGAGATTGATTTCTGTGTTCATCTTTGCTAATGCTGTTAGACTTCCCTGTGAATTCTAGGCAGGGTGTAGAGCAACTGGAAATTCTACTGCCTTGAGTTCTTGTTTTCAGTGGTTTTGAGCGATGCACTCATTACAAAAATGTGTTTGCGTGTGTGTACGTGTTTGCGTGCGTATGAGTCTCTGGATGCAGGTAGACATTGATGTAATGTGCCTGGTGATAGGGGATTTTAGACAATTTGTAGTTTGTTGCTGGATTGTTCTCAGTTTTTGAGATTACAGCATGTGTTTTGTTATTGAAATACAGAAGGTCTGCTGCGTCTGTCTTTGCCATAAGGTATATCCTCCTAGATCTCTAATTTTGAATCAGCATAGAAATACACTCTTAAAGGCAGCTTCTTTACTCTCTAGATGAAACCGGAGTACCTCTCAGTATTGTTGTTCTTTTGGTATGTCAGTATCAGCCTGGTAATTTCAGTTGCTGGTATGTTGTGTAAAATGTGCTGTTCAAATACAAAAATGGAGAATCAAGAAGTAGACTGTAAACAAATTCACAAACCTGATTTAATCGGTAATCTGTAATGTTATTCTCATAATTTATGAGACTGGTTTCATTTGTTGTGATTTGTTTTGCCAGAAACATACCAGACTTGGTACATACAGTCCAGATTTGTTTCTTGTGATAGGGGGGTTTTATGTCATAAAATTAGGAAACTTCATATTGGAAATGCAGATGTATCATGAAAGTCATACAATTTCCATTTGACTTTAAGCCAAAAACTTTTTCAATAGTTGTTTACAGAAGTGCTTCCATATAATGCATATCACTCAGTTTAGTGAAAGCCAGAAACAGTTTCCCTAATTTTTTTTCTCTTTAAAACAGTCAAAACACCTTAGAAAGTGGTATCCACTTGAGTGTTTCATTGGACGCCTACATATCAACCCATCTTCTCTCCCTTTTTTCCCCCTCCTTTGAAATCTCTTGGGTTCTCAGCTTATATTTCTCACTGCTAAACTCTTGCACGATTGAAATTTGAGGGCCATGTCAAGGCTCACTCAGTCATAGCTACAACTTACCTGCTTCAAGAAGTAAGCTCAGGTTGGTACCAGCAGATGAGATATGCCCGCTGGGACATGCAGTTCCCTCCACTCATTAGTGTAATGTTGTCATCATGCAGATCACATGCCAGGGTTTCTGCTAACCATGGAGCTAGGTCTATATTTCTTCAGGGAAAGGTATTTTTCAGGCCTTTTCTGTAATTTTAGCGTTGTAGACTCTTCTTATCTAGTATTATTTGTTTATTTGTTTGCAAGGTGACCTGCATTGCATAAAGTTCAAAATTTGGAATGTCCCAAGTCTTCTGCGAGCTGCCTTGAATTTGTGTAGAGTTTGGTTAAAACCTCAGGAAATAGAAATTGTCTTAACCTTACAAATGCTCAAGTTTCTAAAACCCTGTTTACTTTGCAGATTTCACCAAGCCAAAATTAATGCCTTCTGCATTGTTTCTGTACTACACTGTGATTTACTTTTCTCAGGTTGTGTGAAAAGTTGCACTTTTTATACTTTAGATATTGGAAAACTGTAGAGAATCCGTAATTTATAGCATGTACTTTAAAGGCTTAAGTAAGATTAAGAGAGAAAGTTCAGACAGTGTTGAGTGCTTGATTTTAATTTCAGTTCTGATCTTGAGTGCTTTATTTCTTATTCATGATTTTTAATTTCCTAACTTGGTTTTACACAGACTACAGATACCTGTTTGCTAAATGCTCAGGAGTGTACTTTGGATTGTTTTGAGTTGTTTTGAGTTCTGTTTAAGAACTTTGCTATTTGTTTGGCTGAGGTGTTTTGCTATAGTGAATTCCTGCCCATGATAGATCAGCCTTTTTAAAAACATGATTGGGCTAGGGAACAAACTATTTAAACCAGACTTCCATTTTTTTAGTTCTTGTTTTGAAAACAACATTGTGTGGTTAATATCAGATCAGACCTAAGAATCGTTGATTTTCTTGTTGTTGTTACTTCTCTTCCACATCTTTCTTAAGTTAGTTTAAACAATCCTTACTCTTAATTATTTCAGTTTTAAAAAATGTTATGAGGGGAATACAGAAGCATTTGTATCACCATACAGTGCAGTATTCACACTTAAAATATCATCCCTTCTATATACTTGAAATTAATGTTAAACATGTGCTGACTTTATTGAAGTGTATATTTGATCAGAGCCTGATAATGTAGTATGCAGTTATTTCCACATTCATGTCCTGCCATGCGTCCTTCTTCATCCCCCAGTTAGCCTGGAGGACATTTTACAGTCATCCACATTTAGCCTTATGTAGACCTGTAGTCAATGTCAAAGTGTGATATTCTTTGAATCCTTTGTAATTGTGTAATTATAAATGGTGATTCAGATAAGTCTACTTACCTCTAGTTAAATGTCTTGTCATCGTGCTTTGGTGACACAGAAGCGGCTCAGTCTAACCAGATTGAGTTTGGATAATTTAAAAAAAAATAGATGAAACCTATGCCTTGGGTTTTTATGTTGTTGATTTATAGCCAAGTAATATTTGAATTGGAGTTCAGGGTAGATAAAAGTTAATTATTTGCAATAACTGAAATCACATTTTTAATTCGTTCTTTTA